ATAAAAATAAAAAATATTGCCAATTTTCCTAATTATATAAAAATGCATACTCATCATAGAAAATAAAATGATATAGAAGAAAAATATTATTCGTAACCCAACCCCAGGAATAAGAACTGTTAAAAGTTTGGTGTATGTTTTTCCACTAATTTTCATTGCATTAAATGGGTGAAATATTTAAACTCTTTTACAGAATTGAGATTTTCTTGATTTTTTTTCTGTTATCTTCTTGACTCTATATAGTAATCTAAAAGAATGTACCACTTACAAGTTTCTAAAATTTTGACTCTATAAATAACGCAGTGATCTATTCCTTTGTATATAATCATTTACTTACATTTTTGATTTGTTTAAAATTACTGAGAGTAATTACTGTGTAGTATGTGAGAATGCTTTTCTCAGCATACTAACAATAGCATTGAAAATTACTGTTTTATAAAAATCTTTTTAATAAGGCAAAATAACATTTCACTATTTTAATTTTCATTTATTAGCTTCTGTTATGTCTTTTATTGACAGGACTTTAAAAATTGTGTTATTTGCAATCTGTTATATATAATTCTGTCATTCATGGCTTTTTCTATTGTTTTTAATCTTGATAATGCCTAAAATTTACTGAATGTTCACCATGAGTTTGAATCTACACTAGGCATCCTGTTAATTTTATTTCATCATTTATATATAATGTAATTATATATGCATAGGCATGTTTACACATACACATCGGACCTTATAACTTTGCTGTCAGTATCACTGTTATTTTGTAGGTTAGGAAACTGAAAGTTGGTACAAAGTAACAGAACTAAAATTTGAATCATGTCTATGTGACTCAGAGCCCTTCTCAAACACTACACTCTGATAGTTTTCTTTACCCCAAACAAATCATCTATTCATACATATTCATTTCTGCTTCAGAAAATTAATTTCTAATTTACAGAAAGTTGCAAGAGTTATACAAAGAATTATCATAACCCCCACCATGTTTCCCAGTATTTTATATTTTACCACATACACTTTATCATGTATATATAGTCATATATACATGCACATATTTTTTTCTGAATAAATTGAGAATATATTGTAGATGTGATACCGTATTACCCATTTTACTGTTTATTTCCTAAAAGGCATAGTCTTAGATAAGCAAGGGCAACCCTTAAAATCAAGTAATTAGCACTAATACATGCAATCATGTAATCCAAAGATTGCATTTAAATTCCAATTATTCCAATAATATCCTTTCCAGAAAAAAAAAAATCTTTTTTTTCTCTCTGAATCTCAGCCAAGGATTGTATATTGCATTTAGTTGCCTTGTCACTTTAATATTCTTCAATATAGAATGTTTTTTTTTTTTTTTTTAGTATTTCTTTGTCTTCCATGACCTTGATATTTTTGAAGACTACAGACAAATTACTTTTTAGAATGTCCCCTAACTTGGATTTGTTTGGTATTTGCTCATGATGATCCAGGGTTTTCATTTTTGGTTGGAATTACATAGAAGTCATACCAATTCTGTCACACTGTTATCACGTCAAGAGGCACATGACGTGGAGTTGTCTTATTACTGGAGATGTTGCCTTTGATCATTTGATTAATGTGGTGTCTGCCAGGGTTCTTCATTATAAAATTGCTACTTTCTCTTTTGGAATAATAAGTATTTGGTGAAGAAATACATTGAGACTATTTAAATATCCTGTTCTTCAACAAACCTTTGCTTCCTGGTTTTGGTTCCTCAGTGACTCTTGTCATAATTGATCTTTACTGTGATTGCTGCTAAATGACAGTATTTTCTGAGACATTTACCAGTTTGAATTCTACTACAAGAAGGAACTTGTTTTTTCTCTTCCATTTATTTGTTCATTTTATATCAGCATAAATTTCATGGATTTCTACTTTATTCTGTTTATTATATCAATAGTTGGTACATTTTCTCTGCAGAGGGCCACACAGAAATATTTTAGGCTTAGGGAGCCATAAGGGCTCTGTTACAAGTAGTCAACTCTGCCAGTGTATAGCCAAAACAGACATAGACAGTATGTAAATGAATAGATATGGATTGTTTCAATGAAACTTGAAAAATGTTAAGGTTTAATGGATTTAGCCCAGCGACTGTCCCCTGGGTTGTATCATTATTTATTGGATGTTAAGGTTGTCCCAGATTTGGCTTGTAGGAGACCTTCACATGAGATCTTGGGTCTTTATGACAGATGTTCATAATTTTTTAGTGCTTGCTCTCTGCCACAAGATGTTTTTGGTTCATGTTATACTTACCCAGTCCTGGAATCAACCATTTCTCCAAAGAGCCCTGGTTTGTCTTGGTGGATATGGTTTTTGAGATTTAGGTGTTTGCTGTGCTTGTTGTGCTTATTGCTCTTTGAGTGGCATTGCTTCTAGGCATTCTGCGTGGATCTAGGAAAAATAGGTTTATACGTAGATACCTTTCTTTCCAATTTAAAACCACATGGTTCAGTGTAGCCTCAAACTTATATTTATAGCTTTCTTCCTTCAATAGTGAAAAATCTGGCTTAGGTCATCTTTAATGTATTTATATATTTGCTTATTCTACATTATGAAGCAATATTCTGACATTTGCACCATCACCTTCTCAGCTTTGACATTTCCAGTCAGCCTGACCATCCCCTCACCTCTAACTCTGCCTGGTCCTTGTCACCTCCTTCGCCCTGATTGTTTCTTTGCTGCTGACCACACTCCTAGTCCATGTTGTCTCCTCACCCTGACCCTGAAGGTCCTGCCAGACTTAGTTGCCTCTTCAGCCCTGCTAGCATCTGGTGTTTCCTTGGCCTCTGCTACTTCCTCCCATCTCTGGGCCCTCAGGCCTA